AAGATCTGCGTGGTTATAATATAAGAAAAATAATAAGATTTTTCTAAAATAATTTTACATGAATTAATATATTTATTGAAAAGAAAAAAAAAAAGACACACATACCGAAAAATCAACTAAAATCAACTAAAATCTAAATAATAATAATTAAAAGATCCATTCTCAAATAAGTATAAAATTTAATACAATATTCTAGATGAGTTGTAGAATTGAAAAAAAAAATAAAAAAGAAAAAAATTATTTTGAAAGTCCCAAACCCATGTAACCCCTTAAAGATATTTTTTCGATAATTATCTCCACACACGATTATTCATTAATTTCATTTAATTATTCGATTATTTATTCGTACTTTGAAATAAATAAAATAAAATAAAAAAACCTATAAAAAGTGTAACAATATAATTGATATTAATACCCGAATTGTATGGAATGCAATGCTGCACCGTATTCAATCAGATTTTCAGTAACAATAGGATTACTTCCAAAGAAGCTCCCTAAATTCATTTCCGGTGTGATTTCTATGGTGTTAGTCGAATTCGATACCATTCTTCGAAGTTGTCTTCTCGCATTTCGATTACGTCTACTATTCGATACAATTGCATTTTCGAATGATATGATCCTTTCAGTTGGAAACATTGAAGGTTCCTCCTCGTCAGGTTGTTGTTGTTGTTGTTGTTCGTCTTCATCATCGTAACTATTGTTTGCGGTTAACATGGAAGACGTTGAAAGATCGATTGTAGTTTCACTTCTTCTTTCATTATCTTCGAATGAAGTCGTTGCCACTAACGCGAACATTTACGAATTAAATCAAATTGACGAATGTTTCTTTCAATATTTTTTATTATACCATTAGAAAATATACGTGTATATTATTTGTGTGTGTGTGTTTGTGTGTGTGTTAATGTTTCTATATTTTTTTATGATATTATAAAACACATTTAATATTTTATGATTTAAAAATGATTTGTGTATATATTAAAATTTGGTACTAAGTTTGTTGAATGGTATGCCAAAAAAAAATTCCTAATTAAATTTAAAAAAATCTATTCGGTAATTTTTCTATGTGTTTCTATGTGTTTATTTGCATAAATTAATTGACCGTTTAAATAATTATTATTAAATTAAATAATAATAAATGATTTTAAACATAAATTATCTCGATAAACTTGTAATATTAGATTTATACTTTTACAATCTAGACATTGTAAAAAACTTTGTAAGTTGTGCAATAAAAACCTGATTATATATATATATACTTTTACAATCTAAAAATAATTCTTCTAAGAAATCTAATAAATAATATTTCTGATATAACCAGGAAATGTTTGATCTGTCTAGAAATTATTTGACTCATCATATTCTACTTGCAATATATATATATTCAAATTCTTGAAAAATATGTTCTAGAAAAATGATTAGCTAATATACAAACATGCAAAGAGATGCACAGTCAGCATTTTTTTCATAATTTTCTTATGCATTCGATTTATTCGATGAGTCAACTATCGAAACATGTAATATACTTTGAAAATGCACCTGCTGCTACTGTTCCACCACCACAACCCCACCCCTCCTTCGATAATTTGAATTACACAACGTATATATAGTTGTAATTAAGTTCTCGCACGTAATGTTTCGTTTCGTAACAGATCCGAAAAACACGAAACCACCGACGACGACAACGACAACGACGACGACGAGCAGAGTAAAAACAAAAATAAAAGTAAAATAAAAAGAATCGCGTGTAACTACTGCATTTGTGTGTGAGCTTGCAGGTGATCTCACGTGTACGTATTATGTGTGTTAAATATGTATGGTTATGATATGTAGTAGTTGAAAATTACCGTTCGAAACTTCGTTCGTATTAAAATTCGAGGAAATACAACCATCGAGTTTTTCGATATTCCTCGACGAATTTTCATCTAGAAAAATTCTTCTTCTTCTTCTTAATCTTTTTATTCTTGTATCGGAATGAAAACTATCATGTCTCGAACTTATCGATCTCAATAAATTCTTGAAACGTTCGCTTATACTTTGATACTTTGATCTGATCTATTAATATTGTTTTTCTTTATTTTACTATTGTATTTTTTTTTTTTAGAAAGATTAAAAGAGATAGAAAGAGAGAGTGAGAGGAAGGAGAAAGATTATTGATAAAATGAAAGAAAAATTCGGTGTTATCGGTCAGAAAGATTCCTTCTTTATCGACCCGTACTCGAAAAAATGAAATGAAATGTTATATCAAAGAAATTTATTTGAAAAACAATATATTCAACTTTATATTATCAAACTTTATAATATTATCAACTCGTATTCATAACACAAATAAAAGAAACAACAAAAATTACTTAAAACGAGAAGAAAAAAAGAAACCTAAAAAATGTATTACATTAAAATAATTTTAATCAATTTTCATTGATATTATTCTAACATCGATACAATATAATACTCCAATTGCAAAAAAACTATAAAATAACGAACGCGAACGAATGTTTTACGAAAGTTTCAATCTAAAAAGAAGCTAAGAAGAAAGCGTGAAGGTCTCGAACAAAAATACACACACAGAGCGATTAGTTTTTCCACGAATTTAAATGGGGGACAATCAAAAAAAAAAAAATAGACAGATAGACATACAGACAGAAGCAGAAAGAGAAAGATACAAAAAAATACATCAAAAAGCTCACCTTTTCGCTAATGATACTCGTTAGGGATCGTGACGTGTCCTCGTTGCGAGAAAAATGATCAGAAGGAACGTTATCGATATAGGAAACATTTTGTTTATCCTTTATTTCTATTTCATTGTCTTCCCTTCTTAATTCGTCTTTATCTTCGTCCTTTATAACATTTTCTATTAACTCATTTTCTAAGTTCATTTCATCAAATAATTTTACGAAATTTTCATTGACAATGAGATGGAAAAGTGAAAGAGAGAGAAAAGGGAACCGAAATCTTGTTTCAACTTTTATGATGCAACTAACGTAATTCTTTTGTTTAATTCAATCATTATAATCAATATTTATATATAAAATCGATAATGTGAGATGAAAACAAAATTATTGAATTACTTCACGCGGTACTACTTTATTTTTTTTTTCTCATTTCGTAACGACGATAAATGATGATTCAAAATGTAAATATATATATGTGATTATATGTGTACATGTGTATGTGAATTTTAACCACCCTTCAAGAAGTGATTTGTCTGTTTGTCTGTCTGTCTGTCGTCTTTATCTACTTGAGTCTGTCTCTCTCTGTATTTTTTAAAGTTTGTATTGCTCAATGTATAGATTACCCGTTCTTTATCTTGAAGATTATTTTCAAGATATATAAAATCTACGAAAAAAAAATAGTATTGTATATAATGTTAATATAATAAATTTTCTTATCCAAAATTTTTCTAATATTATTACTGAGTTTTGTTGAGGCTTTTAAATAATAACGATCAAATTAACGAAGTTTAGATGTATTGTGTTTTGGAATATTATAAAAAGAAATGTATGTCGAAATAAATCAAAAAGACGCTGAGCTTTAATGATTAAGGTAATATGTACAAAATTATATTGTATAAAACGCATGTATCGTAATAAGAAATGT